ATCTTAGGTCATTTTAGGCTGGACCAGTGGGCCCACCTAGCATAATGCAGAGCTTCCTTCTTTCTCCAGGCATCATGCAGCCCCTTCCAGCCATGCCAGTCTCTGGTCCTTCCATGCTGTCTTTGTACCTCAGACTCTCTCATCTAGGGCCACCGCACGCAGGAGACTCCCTCTAGTGTGGTCTTCAGCCTGGCAACAAGGGACACTGAGCCACTCCTCGCCTAGAGAAGGTGTCCTTTCCCTAGACAAGCCCCTGACCCTGGGAAGGGAGAAGAGACAGATCTTGATAGCTGTGGGCCAAACCATCAGGATGAGCAGCTACAATGTGAAGCATGACAAAGTCATCCATCAGAGTCTTTCTTCAGGTTATCAATCTTCAGGTTAGGGATCCCCTTCAGGAACCAGCTCTTTATCACCAACTAGAAAAAGCAAAACTCAGAGGCACAACATTTACTTTTGATTTGTCTTCCCCTAAAAGCACTGAGTGAGTTAGGAAGCCCAGGGCCAAAGAGTTGCTGAACCACTGAGAACCAAAAGAATCTAAACTAAAAGTTGGCTGCCTCCTTTTTTCCAATCTTTCAAACCTCTCTGTCAGAGAAAACTCCAGATGCAATTACCTTTCACTAAAGAAGGGCGTATTTCAAAAGGCTGGTGAATGTGTCTGCCACACACACAACACACAGTAAACCCTGTAGCCACTGGGAACAAACACCCACTCTCCCCAGAAATCCACCCCCTTACCAAACAGTAGTACACAGTGATGGCTTTCCTTCCAGACTCTCCCTCACCTCTGGGAGGAATGAAGCAAGAAGGGGCAGCGCTCCTCCATCAAAACCCCCCAGAGGCCACAACTCACTTTACAAATTTGAATCGGTACATTACAGGCAGACTTGGACAAATCCCCCCCAAAACAAACAGGCCACCACAGTGAGCAAAATTACACTAAATTATATTGTATATTTAATAACACAGCTAAGAAAAGTTTCCACACCTATACCACTCATATGTTTCCCTAATGACAGAAACAAGAGAGAAGGAATTAAAACCCAAGGGTCCTGGGAAGCCTTCCTGACCACACTCACTCACACGATAGCAAGTGTTGCTCGGAGATGGGGAAAGGGTTCTTCTGAGCACCTCCTTTTTCTTGGAGGGCAATAAATATGGTGTCTGCAGAGGAAGGAGGCACTGTGGGCTCCTCTCTCTTCCCCTCCAAAGCAAACAGGGCAACGGGGCTCCAGACTCATTTCAACATCAAGGCACCCCCCAGCCAGCTTGGAAGGGCCCTGCAAACCGAAGATCTATGTGCACTGGCACTCCTGGGATGGTGTAAGCATTCATAGCTACACGAGTGAGCCCAGGCCTTGATTACATACTGCCTTCCTCCCCTCCCCCTCGCTATCTCAACTCTGGCCTCCAGAAATAGAATGTTCCCAGATCCCCACAGAGGCTTTCAAGGGCCACAGCTACTGTCCAAGATTCTGGTGGATGAAGGCATTGCAGTGATGTAAAGGCCTGCCTCGTGGCCCTCCCTCTGCACCACAGCATGTGGCAATAAGCTGGAGACCTGAGCCTCTTCTGCCCCATCCCACATGTGCCCTTCTCTGAGCCTCAATTTCTCCATCTGCCAGGAGGGGAATGACCCTCTCCCTTCCTCCACCAGAGACAGACTAGTTTCAGGCACTTAGTATCATCTGGCAACCACTACAGTTGTGCCCCCATCTTTCCCCCACCACTGAATAAGATCCTCAGGAGAGCTACCCCACAGCAACTGTTCAGTCAATACACAGGGAGCACAGAGGAAAGGGAGTGAGAAAAAAAGAGATGGAAAATAGAAGGGATGAAATCGAGTCTTTAACAGTTCATTTCCTTACTCTGAGTATTTACTAACTTTATTCAGCTAGAAATAATCTTTTAATGGCAATACAATGTACTGCATGTTTTAAAAATTCTGCTTTTCTGTGATACTTATGGAAAAGTGCTCAGAACTCTATGTGACCTCAGGAGATCGTATCCTGAGACCAGTTAGGACCCACAATCACACCCAGACGTGTGCCCTTCCACCTCCAGCATCTCAATTCAGTTCCATCTCAACCAGTCCTTTCACTCATCAAACAGCTCCCAGTTGGGCCTCCTCTACAGGAGGAAGGCTGCATCTATAAGTCATAAATCCTAAAAGCAGAGTTATTAGTGTTGGGGCCAGAAGATGGGTTGGAGGGCACATAGGAGGTAGAGGGAAAAGTCCTTGCCTGCCACCTTCCCATGGAGCCTACTGGTTTTCCTTCCGTTTTTTGAGTACCTAAACATGGCTCTAAGCACATGACTGGTATTAAATATTATCCTCCAAGAGTGTTTACAAACCAAGAACTCAAGGTCAAGAAAGGAAGAAGAGGTGACATTTGGACACAGGACAGAATACCTGCTTTCTCCCAGTCATGAACACCTCAAGTTAAGCCTAGGGCTTGAGATTTCATGTTTCATACTACAAGTTTCTAAGTACACACCTATGAAAAGAAGGCAGATAAGTCCCAGCATCAAAGATAAATACGATGAATAGCTCTGACAAATTATTTTAAATAGAAGAAAGAGACTGAGATGTGCCAGGTCTCCCAATTGTCCAGGCTCCTTGGAGGACAGCTGCTGGCCACCCACTCTCGTGTTTTTCACAAGGGGTTCACGGTCACATCACATTAGTGACACTGACGACCACACTCAACAAGAAAGGTGGCAGGGAAGGGAACAGAGGCAGCCATGGAGGGCAGGAAAACCACAGGGGAAAAGGAAAGGAAAGAGATTCCTGCTGAGTCCCCACCTCAAGAAGAATGCAAAAGAGCAGTGTAACTCCATGAGGGACAGGAGAAGCCCCAGGGAAGGGTGGAGACGTGAGAGCAGCTAAAGCAGCTAAAGAAATGCTTTACCAGCTGGGAGAGATTCTGGCTGACACAAGATTCTAGCCCTTTTAGCTTTGTATTTTCATATTCATTATTTCAGATCATCTTCACAATAACCTAGTAAGGACTATGAAAGAAACGGTATTCATATTTAACAGATGAGGAAACCACGGCTCCGAGGACTTACCCGAGGCCACCCTGCTGGTTGGTGGCAAAGCAGAACTCCAGTTTCCCAGAACAGACCCTACAGCTAGGAGGCAGTGTCTTCCAAGATTGGGAAAATGGTTCAGTTTACTGAAAGGTTCAAATTCATTGACACAGTGAGAAGAAATGGATCTAATAAGATGAAAAGATTCCTATCCCAATATATTTTGGGGGTAAGAGAAAAAGAAGCAGAGAGAACACCAACATATACTCTGGTCATTTAGTGTAATGACAGAATCCCAAGTACAAACTACTTTTTAAAAACAGTCCAAGACACCATTTGTGGACTTGGGGAAAAGGTCATCTCAAATAACTGTGGGTCATGGAGCTAAACAGCCAGCCAACAGTGAGTGAGAGTCATCCCAGGGGCAAGAAAGTACACCAAGAAGACATTTAAGGAGAATGTTAAGAAAACATGAGACCTAGGTTTTCACCAAAGATGGGGCATATCAAGGACTTAGCAGAGGGTCTGGCATAGAACATATGACTAATAAATGTTAGCTGCTGTTAACAGTAGTAGTTAAAGAGCAGTGCTAGTAATATTAGGAAGCTAGGTCCTTCCTCAAAGCCAGCTTCCAAGTTGTGGCCGAAAAAGCCCCAAAGTCAGTTTATTGTGATCTAAACTGCTTCTCAGTGACCAAGGCAGACATTGTCCTCAACCTTTTATTGACATCATCTTCAACAGCTGCCACGCTCTATTCTGTTAACAGGTAGCCTAACACATTCCAGAGGAGGTGGCTAGAGCAGAGGGATATGAAGGTGGGGATGCTAGGAGAGCCTGTGTCTTTAGCCTAATTCCATGTGCAGGAAGCACATGGACCATCTCCAGCCTTAAGAGCATCCCTCCACCACCGACCTCACCCCAGGCCACCCCAGTCTCCTGAAGCCAGCGGGAGTCCTCAGGTAACCACCAAGATGAAGTCACCAGCCTACCTGTCACCTCCCACCCTTACACATATCCAGCCCACAGACACCCAGGCTTGGCTAACTGGCTTTAAAGGGGGCAGCATTAGGAAGAAACTGAGGAGGGGCCAGAGCTCAATGGCTCCATTTTCCACCCTCTGCTCCCACACACTTAGGCCTCTCTACTCCCTGCTGGTCTTTCCTTCCATTTTTTTCCTAGGATTGCTAGAATGATTTGTTCTGAACAGCGACAGGTTTATAGGTTAGCCGACACCTCCGCTCTGTGGAATTTTAATTAACTTCTCCCATCGTCAATATGCTAAGGAACGGGGTCTCCATTCTCTGAGGTCAGCAATGTGTTTCAGGTCCTGCTATATCAGCCGTCAAATTGAAGAATTAATGACGTGGCTAATCGGCTCTAATTCTTTAGGAGGAAAAAAATTTGAAAGAAAGTTGTGGAAGGGGCAGGAGGAGGGGTGCAGGCTCCTTGGGGTGAGGAGAAAAAGGCTGAAGGGGGCTGAGCCAAGAGGGGGGATCAACTCTCTCATAAAACAAGTGACTGACTTAAACCCGATGTTGGAGGGTAGTAGCCCTACAGCTTTCCCATTGATCATTTGGTGGGGAGTGAGGGGTGAAGGAAGTGGGAGAAGACGCTAAACACCCTGACAGAGCATGTGCAGAGAGGGTGTCTATGTACTCTGCTGGTGGGGAGAGAGGCCCTGCCTCGGTTCAAGAGAGCCTAGAAAGCAGAATTCAGGATGCAAGGCTCATTCAGTCACAGGCAAAACTAGAGAAACACCAGTCAGACCAAAGGGTAGGGTAAAGCCGTCATCAAAATTGGCACTTCTGCTATAATTGTCAACAAATTTACTCCACATACATGATTTTGCACGAGGGCCCAACTGGACGTGGGCCCCAAGCCTCTCCTGATGACGCCCACCTGACCTCATAAAATAAAAGCATTATCACATGGGATAAAACCATACACCAAAACATCTCCCTTACCTGTGCAATGGGCTGATAGCAATGGACCAGACTCGGTCTTCAGTCTGGATGGTGTGTAAGCACTGCCCCAGCCGGCCTGAGGCCAAAGGCCATACCTGGAAACAGGAGAGGAGATGCTCTCGTTGGCGTTGCCTGGGATCGGGATGAGGGTTGGAAAATGCACCAGGTGGAGTCACTGTTCCTAGGGTGGGTGGGGAAATGGAGAATCCTTTCTATCCTGTACACACAGAGCTCGGGGTAGCAGCAGAGGGACCTCTCCAGCTTCTGCCTTGCCTACCGCCCGAACAGACGCTGGCTCCCAGTCCTAACCACCCTTTCACGTCCACCTGAGAGCCCTTATGCAGCAGCCAATTGTATACCAGGGAATCAGAAGTTCCACGTTCCTCAGCTGAGACCTGACTGAGAAGCGTGAGCAGGTGAGGCTTGCCTCTCTCAATAACCTCCCCGTGTTAGTGGATTTTCCTTTTCCTATCTCTCACCAAGATTTTACTTTGGGGAGGTAGGGAGAGGGAGGAAGATCAAGGCCCAGTATGAGAGGACAGAGATAGAATTAGATTAGAATTAGAGAGAGAGGAGTAAAAAGAAAGATCCAAGGGAAGGAAAAATGGAAGAAGAGGACTTCAAAGTGGGAAGGTGGTGTGTTGTTGTTTGTTTGTTGATAATGCCCAGAATCCAGTGCTATTCATGTCAGCAGGGAATTTAGCACCTAGTGTCACCAAAAGTAGCAGAAAAGCTTAACTCTTTTAAGCTTCCATATCTCCTACTGGTTAAAAATATTGCTTGGAGCACATTATCTGGTCCCTATCAGTCAGGAATGTACATTAGCAGCCACTCTGGGCTTAACTCTAATCAACACTCACAGAGCCCTCTCAGCGGTCAGTGCATTTAGAAATCTCCCATTAAGCACAAGGCCCCCTCACCTCACCCTACCCCAGATGACACACACAGGGGACTAAGCCTCTAACCAAACAGAGAGGAAACCTCAAATGTACAGGGCTGTCCCCAGACAGCAGCCAAGGAGGGATCCCGAGGAGGCCAGATGGATCAGTGACCTCTCAAGGTCCCTGCAGTGCTATAAGGGGAACACAAAAAAGTCAGACAGGACCTTAGATGGAAGAACTTTCAGGAAACATTCCTTGAGTTTAAGGGGTAGGTGATGGAGTGGGGGTGGTCCTGACTTCTTAGGATCACATGATATCTCTTCTCTATAAAAGGAGAAAGTGTTTCTTAGATTTTGTGTGTCTATGATAGGGGGAGAAGGGTGTGAGTTACTTTTCCCAACACCGGGAAAAGAAAATAAATTTAACAAGAAGATCCTGAATAAGGAAGGGCAGAAAACAAAGGTAAACACCACAATTTTCCTGGAATGCCAGGATTCTGGCTCATTCTTCTGGATTAGGTCACTTTGGTAGCAACTAGATGCATCTAATGTCCTCTTTCAGACAGCCTTGGCTTGGAAGAGGTTTGTCTTTTCCCTGATGCAAACTACCTAGGAGGCAGGTTCTTGTTTGGTGTGGGTGACTAGAGACTCTGATTACAAAATCTCTGGGGGCAGCCCTAGGCCTGAATTCACTAGCGTCCTCCACTGAACAGGCTGGTGGATCCCTAGGCTGTGAAAACCACAGAACAAGGTTCCTGGTCTCCAGGGGTGGCTCTGGAAGCATGCTGCCAATTTCCCAAGCACGATCTGGGGAATGTGGCCCTCCTGACCTGCACCAGTAGTAGCACACCATCCACCAAAACATGAGTATGCTGATCACATCTTAACCCTCAGTGATCAAATTCAAAACAGACCCAACCCTGGAGAAGATATAACTCAGTGGGAGTGGGCATTTACACAGTCCTTATAAAAAGCAGTTGGTGGGCTTCCCTGGTGGCGCAGTGGTTGAGAGTCCGCCTGCCGGTGCAGGGGACTCGGGTTCGTGCCCCGGTCCAGGAGGATCCCACATGCCGCGGAATGGCTGGGCCCGTGAGCCATGGCCGCTGGGCCTGTGCGTCCAGAGCCTGTGCTCCGCAACTGGAGAGGCCACAGCAGTGAGAGGCCCACGTAACCGCCCCCCCCCACACACAAGCAGTTGGCAATATGTATCAAGATCCTTAAAATAACCAAAGCCTTCGACTCAGTAATTCTATTGCTGAGACTCTATCCTAAGAAAATAATCCTAAAACGAAGAAAAACCTAAATGATAAAAATATTCCCTGCAGCCTGCAATAGCAGAAAGAGCATATGTGGGCTTTAGGATTAGGCAAATCTGGGTTTGAACCCCAGTTGCTACTTATTTATCTCTGATGTTAGGGATATTTTATAACTTGTTAGCCTCAGTTTCCTCATGTATAAAATGGGAAATAATGCCTATCTTTTAGGGTTGCAGTGTGGAAAAATGAAGATAAGTGTAAAGCACCCAGCACAGAAGCACAGTATTTGGCAGACATTAGGCATCAATAATGGTGGTCCTTATTACTATAGGAAAGAAATAGATACAAACATCCACCAATAGGAAAAATAGTAACTAAATTATGGTAAGTCCATTGTGAAGCCATTAAAGATGACACAAGTAATTTGCAATAATAATGGAAAACCGCATAAAATAAAGTAGACACAGCAGGGTATATTGGGTATATAAGATATATTATGAATATGAATCAAAACGACAATGAGATATCACCTCACACAGGTCAGAATGACCATCATCAAAAATATCTACAAACAATAAATGCTGGAAGGGGTGTGGAGAAAAGGGAACCCTCCTACACTATTGGTGGGAATGTAAATTGGTACAGCCACTATGCAGAACAGTATGGAGGTTCCTTAGAAAACTAAAAATGGAACTACCATATGATCCAGCAATCCCAGTCCTGGGGCATATATCCAGAGAAAACCATAATTCTAAAAGATACATGTACCCCAATGTTCTATTTAGCACTATTTACAATAGCCAGGACACGGAAGCAACCTAAATACCCGTTCACGGAGGAATGGATAAAGATGTGGTACATGTATACAATGGAATACTACTCAGCCATAAAAAAGAACAAAATAATGCCATTTGCAGCAACATGGATGGACCTAGAGATTGTCATACTGAGTGAAGTAAGTCAGACAGAGAAAGACAAATATCATATGATATTTCTTGTATGTGGGATCTAAAAAAATGGTACAAATGAACCTCTTTACAAAACAGAAATAGAGTCACAGATATAGAAAACAAACTTATGGTTACCAAGGGGGAAGGCAGGAGAGGGATAAATTAAGAGATTAAGATTGACATATACACACTACTATATAAAAGAAATAACTAATAAGAACCTACTGTAGAGCACAGGGAACTCTACTCAATACTCTGTAATGACCTATATGGGTATAGAATCTAAAAAAGAGTGGATATAGGTATATGTATAACTGATTCACTTTGCTGCACAGCAGGAACTGATACAACACTGTAAATCAACTATACGCCAATAAAAATTCATTTATAAAATAGATATATTATGACCATGATTATGTGGGGAAAAATTACCCTAAAGGATAGAATGAGGAAATGAATAAATGTAAAGCGCTTATTAGCACAGTGCCTGGTTACATTCTATGTTATTATAAAACAAAAAGAGCAAACCTATGCACTGAAAAACACCTAAAAGGAAAAAAAAAACAACAGTTCAAATGTTCCCTCCTTTATAAAATCTCCCCTTCCAAGTCAAATGTGATCTCTCCACCCTCCAAACTTTCTGGCCCTTTCCCTAGAGCCTTAAACTTCACAGTCCTGACCACTTCCAACCAGCTTCATAGCTTCATAGCTAGTGCATGCAGTCTCAACTCCCCTTAAGGAAAGGCTGTATCTTCTTCCCCTTTGAAGCCTCGCATACAGTAAGCACTTATCAGAATGAAAGAAAGAATAAAGAAAACGGAAAAAAATGAAGGAATGATCAGACCTGGCCCAGGCCCAGCAAGAATGTAAGCTACCATCCTATCACATCTCAGGATGGGGCCAGCCTCACCAAAGCCCAGAGGGGCAATCCAAGCTAAGTCACAGTAAATCTGAAACTAGGATTGGGGGCAGGGGAAGGAAGCTCTCTGGGCAGTCCCTAGCTCAGAAGTTTTGCAACGAAAATGTTTTGTTTCCCTTCACCCCAATAAATCTCTTTCCTAAAACATAGTCCATTTTGGGGAACTCCCCAAAAACAGGCTATAGATGTTTACAGACAAACGTGACTAAGTTCTTATGTAGGTTCAGGTATTAGAAACCTGTACAAGCAGCTGGAGAATTACAGATGCCACCAAAAAGAAATGGAAAGTCAGTTATAAAAGACTAAATGTGGGTAATGTGAAAATGGTCCAGGAAGATGAAGACGGCTAAATGCAAAGACAACAATAGAAGGAGGGAACAGAAGCAGCATCCAGAAAGCCAGAAAGATGAGCTGGCCTGGAGGTCACTGGGAAATCGCAAAACAGCTGACTAGCTTCCTGGAGTTGAAGAACCAGGGGGGAGAATTCTGTCACTGACTAAAAAGAAATCCTCAAAAGGAACAGGATCTACTGCAGTGACAATTTTAGAATTAGAAAGTACCAATTTTAATGCTTAAAAACTCTAAACCAGTAAATAACTGTACTTAAAACGTGAAACTAACCCAATATCCTAAATAAAATTGCTGTCAATCTTCAACTGTAAGCAGTCTATAGCCCTGAATTGCCACCTGTGGTCATAAAGTTTAGCTGTACACTGCTCTGGGTGTCATACCACAGAGAAATGGGTAGAAGAGATGTCACTGAAGGCTTCACGGGGAAGCTTGAAGCTGTGACAAGAAAATGCTAGAATGAGATGAGAATATCTAGGTCCCACATGCACAAAAGGTTTCTGTGCAAATTGACTTCTGAGCAGTATAGCAAGTTAAGGTTGGTCTCTTTACAAGGAATGGTACATAGACAGTGACCAATCAGAAACCTGAAGTAAGTATGGGGTGGGGGATTCGGAAGCAAGAGATAGGAAATACAGTTTCCATGTTGGTTCAAAAGATTTTCTGGGGTGAGATGAATTGGGAGATTGGGATTGACATATATACACTACTATGTATAAAATAGATAACTAATGAGAACCTACTATATAGCACAGGGAACTCTACTCAATGCTCTGTGGTGACCTAAATGGGTAGGAAATCTAAAAAAGAGGGGATATGTGTATACGTATAGCTGATTCACTTTGCTGTATAGCAGAAACTTAACGCAATATTGTAAAGCAACTATACTCCAATAAAAATTAATTAAAAAGAAGAAGCCTTGATTTTAGATTTCTGGCCTCCAGAACTGGGAGGTAATAAATTTCTGTTGTTTTAAATTAAAAAAAAAAAAAAAAGAAGAAGAAGGTTTTCTGAATTTTTCTCAGGCTCCCTGTGCTGACGCACATGTCTCTCTGACAAAATACAAAGTGTAAGGAAAAAATAAGCAAAGGGAGGAGAAACTTCCATAAATACAAAGGAACATATTTAGTCCTTCTTTTTACATAAATTAGCAACATTTTCACATGAAGGTGTAATCACTAGAGGGAACATGGAGCCAGAAAAGTTAGTAAAGATTGCAACTTCTCTCTCCTGAGTCCCCTCCTTATGTGTCCTAGAGTCCCATTTGCTGACATGGTCAAGCATTTTGCTCCTATTAGCACTGTGGAGTCTCCAGATGCTGGGAAACACACAAGCAAGAACCTATCGAGCTTCCTGCACCATCCGCTGAATTATCAGCAAAGTTCCCACAGCAGTCTCAAAGGATCAGGCGTGTGTGGGTCCTGGCAAGGGCTACTGGACACAGGGATGGAGAAAGTTCTTCTCTGCCTCATGGGTGAAAGCCTATTTGACCCAGACGTGGAGGAGCTGAGTCCATAAAGCAGGGGTTACACTACTTTATCAGTCTCATTCTGTTGGGCCTTGGCAGATGTCTGACTTTAGACCAGGCAACTTGGCAATGACACAACAAACAATGCCCTCCTCTAGTCGTCTTTCCACTGCTTACTGACCACATCACTCTCCAGAGAAGCAATAAAAACACATTTTAATTATCAGCCCGATTGCTTATAAACAAGGTGGTAAAAAATTAACCTTCTCAAACAGAGAGCGAGCAAAAGGAGGGAGATTTTAAAATAAAATATTGGTGTTAGAACTCAACCCACAAACTTGAGGAAACTCAGCTCAGGGAGGAAAAGCTGGCCAGGCCCTCTGTTTTTGAGTTCACGCCACATTTCAAGTGAGTGGCAAGCTTCCCAGCCACTGTCCACTCCTTTCCCAGGCCAGCTGGCAGGGACATAGCCTGGCATGGCAAGCTGCATGCCAGAGGCACATAAGTGAGTTCTTTATTGTGTCGTTTCCCCCACTGCCCCAACTCAGTGCCCTCAGCCAATCCTGAGACTCAAGGTCCTATCCACCCTCTCCCACCCCACTCCCTATAGACAGTAGGAAATAACAGTATGTAAGGGGGAGACCACCTCACCTTGGCCGTCCTGTCTCTGGAGCCACTCACAATGATGCCCCCTTTGCAATCCACACAGTTCACCTCCTGTTCATGGGCTGAGTACTTGACAGTGAAGGTGCTGTGAATCTTATGAATGCCGATCTTCCCATCTCTACAAGAGAAATAAGAAGCCAACCCCCGAGAGCCAGTTATTCTCTCTGTAGAAAAAGAACAAGTCTACAGAAACAGCCGGAGTCTCCAATGACTTCCAAATTTGCTAAGCTTTATACAATTCAGCCCAATAAGGTGCTGAGTTTCTAGATACCTTTACTTCTTCAGTATACTTGGGGCTGAAGAGAGCTGAGAGACAAAACAAATCTCCCACTTGAGCGTATCAAAACCAGTTTCACTTTTCATTAAAGGCTCTTCCTGTTTTCCTTCTCCAGCTAACCCTATGAAGTACCTGCTTTAAATGGAAAAAAACATTACCCCTTCTTCTAGTCTCCCTACTCATCCCTTTGGAGTTGAGACAGAAAAGTCAGAGGCAGGCAGAAGGTCTCTGAAGAATACTGAGGAGGAGGAAGGAAGGAGAAGCCTGCAGCACTTACCCTCCTGCACTGATAATATGCGAGTTGGCCAGCACGAAGTGGCAAACGTCCTCATCATGCCCAGCAAAGACTCCCAGGGGCCTCCGGTTCAAGCTGGCACCATCTGGGCGGAACTGATAGGCCAGGATGAAATTAGCCTGGGATATGTACAGAGAATCACCCTCTAGCTGCATCCAGGGCATCTGACTGCAGAGATGGAAAACAAAATTTAAGGATCATCAAGATATAGCATGAAGGGACTTCCTTGGTGGGGCAGTGGTTAAGAATCCGCCTGCCAATGCAGGGGACACGGGTTCGAGCCCTGGTCTGGGAAGATCCCAAGTGCCGCAGAGCCGCTAAGCCTGTGCGCCACAACTACTGAGCCTGCACTCTAGAGCCCACAAGCCACAACTACTGAGCCCGCGTGCCACTACTACTGAAGCCCACACACCTAAAGCCCGTGCTCTGAAACAAGAGGAGCCACTGCAGTGAGAAGCCCACGCACCACAACAAAGAGTAGCCCCCGCTCACCGCAACTAGAGAAAGCCCGCGCGCAGCAAAGAAGCCAAAAATTAATTAATTAATTTTTTTAAAAAAGAAGAAACCTCCTCAAAAAAAAAAAAAGAAGATATAGCATGAAAATTCAACTTCAAACTCCAGAGAGGCTGACCAATCCCCAACTTAGCAATAACCTGCAAGGTTAAGTCTATACCTCACTCCCCTCCTTCAAAACTACCTACCCTTAGGCTACCTTTAGAAAACTAGAGTGATTGAGCTTTGTGGTGACCTAATCTTCTTTGGACTTTCTAAAAGAAAGTCAGAATAAAAGACCAATTAAATATCACTTTTAAATGGAGAATGCTTGGGATTTCCCTGGCGGTCCAGTGGTTAGGACTCAGCGCTTTCACTGCCATGGCCCTGGGTTCAATCACTGGTCAGGGAACTATCCTGCAAGTTGCCCGTGGTGTGGCCTAAATAAATAAATAAACAAATAAATAAATAGAGAATGCTTAAGGCTTGAATTACTGGCTACCTATACTTCTTGTGGGTAGGCAGAGCAATGAAAATGCAATGATTGAGGGGTGGGGAAGGGCAAAAAGAAACCTTCCACCCAGATGAAGTAATTTTTTCATTCTGTGTCCTCACTGATCTGAAGTTTAAGTGATAAGTTTCAAGGTTCCAGGACCTCCATACACACCTCTTTCCCAATAGATCATTTAGGGTGTGATAGAGAAAGGAAAAGAGTGAGCCCAGGGAAGCCCCATTCCCTTGTCTTACTAGAGCAAAAGGGCCTCTTTTTTTTTTTGGCTGTGTTGGGTCTTCGTTGCTGTGCACGGGCTTTCTCCAGTCGCAGTGAGTGGGGGCTACTCCTCGTTGCAGTGCACGGGCTTCTCATTGTCATGGCTTCTCTTGTTGCAGAGCACAGGCTCTAGGCACGCAGGCTTCAGTAGTTGTGGCACGTGGGCTCAGTAGTTGTGGTGCAGCATGTAGGATCTTCCTGGGCCAGGGCTTGAACCCGTGTCCCCTGCATTGGCAGGCAGATTCCTAACCACTGCGCCACCAGCGAAGCCCAAAAGGGCCATTTTTAAGTGAAAGGAATAAAGCCATTTAGGAAAGGATGCTAATGTACTGATTAAATTCCTAGATCCTCACAGAGGATACCTACATTTCTGTATTAGAGGGTAAGTGTGGCAATGGAAAAACATAGCTCCAGAGCAGTCTACTACAGTTCAGAGACTACAGAGAAATAGTTGGCTCTCACAGGCAGCTGATAAAAGAAATATACAAATAGTTAAAGATTCCCTCTACAAACTGGCAGGAGGGAAAAAGGTTAGAAACCACAGGTCAGTCCCATGGCACAGAGTGAGCCTTAAGAAGAAAGAAGACTCTGCCAGACACCATGCTCTATGGTGGGGACTAAGCCCCTTGCACAAGGTACATCCCAGCAGCCTGTCCTACACCACATAGGGGTCCTAGAGCTACCAGGTCCCAAGCAAAGCATAGGGACAGATGATTCATCCCCATTTATAGAGACACCATCTCCCACGGCCAAGCCTGTCTGAGCAACCTGGGCTGTGTTTCTTCCCCAGACTCCTTAATACAAGTGTCATAGGAATGTGGAAAAGTTCTGCAAAGATGGACCATTAAATGCAGCTTGGACTTTGTAGTAACTAGTTTCTGCACATGAGGTTTTTACAAGCGTGTGCAAATATTATATGGAACATGTGTAGAGTGTGTGCAGATGCCTGCACTCTCATTCATTATGCACATTCCTCTTCAACATCCCTTGCACGAGTTTGCGGCACACTCAAGTGGGCAGCAAACAGAGGGGTTTGGAATTCATGTGTTTAGAGCCATCTGGTAAACAGCCATTTGCCCAGGACAAGAAACCAGGTTCATGTCAGGTGAACAGTGGAGAATCGCGGGGCAGCCTGGTAACCATTTTGTGTATTTATTTGCCAAATTGCTTGAAACCAGCCCGAATAGACGTCAGGAACAAAACCTTGTTAGAGAAATAAACTCTTCTTTCTGGTAATAAAAGGCAAAAGTGGGAAGCAGAGGGTAAAGCCCTTTGTCATACAAATCCATCTTTCTCCCCTGTAGTTGCTTTACCATCATCACCACCACATAATTTGCAGTAACCCGTGTCAGTGAAAGCAGCAGAAATTGTATATAAGCAAGAGAAAAAGGCCATCAGATGAAGAAGCCTGCCTGAACCTATCGGCACAGGTCCAGGTCCGCTGGAATGTGGAATCATGATGTTCCCTATCCATTCCAACCAATCAACAAAGAGCACTTTTTTGGTAGGGAGTTAAATAATAACTATGAAATAATTCAGCATCAATGAAGTATAAAATTTGTGGTATTAGCAGTGCCAAAGTTATTATCTAAATTTCCTGCCATTTTTTTCCAAGCTCTACCTCCTGTAACATACATATCCAAACCTTCAGATCCTATTTTGCTTTTTAATAAAAGTAGGGGAGAGGGCTACAGGAAGCCAAGAGTGAAGGTGTAACTCTCTAGAGTAGAAAATTTTTTTAAAAAATTGTAAAATAAGATGAGCTGAAATATTGGCTTCATTTATTTCTTTTGATGAGGTGCATTATTACCTCTGAGTGGTAGGATTATAGGTAAGTTTTATTTTCTTCTTTAAGCTCTTCTGTTTTCAAATTTCTACAATAAACATTTATTATTTTTATAATCATAAAAATATGGGATCTGTTAAAATAAATTACATTTTTTATAATCTTTTTTTAAATGTGAAAAAAAGTTGTCCCTCCAATGCCCCTTTTGTGGTATTTAAAGGATCACCAGTGCCCCATCACCCAAGACAGGCACATTTATACTCCAGCTAGGACTAGATTTTTCATTTCCCAGCATTCTTTAATGTCCCAGGTAGCTTTGAAAGAGTCAAGAGGCTACTTACCTGCATTTCCACTTCAGCAGAATCCCCTCTCGGCAGCGCCCCAACCTCCAGTTCTGAGATACCTTCACCCGTTCCTTCACTGGTACACTTGCCATCCTGTGTCCAGACAGAGCAGATAATCCAATCACTACAACTCATTGCCAACCAGAGAAAATTCCCTGGGCTTTTTTTACAAGTCAGGACTCAGAACATCCAGAAAATATGTGAATATAAGTGAACGGGTTAGGAGACAAGTAAGAAATAACTCTTCTCCCTCCACACTAGGATAATCAAGAAAGCCAAGGAGAACAGCCTGTCCTTTAAAGTGTCCATAGTGATGCCAAAGCTATCTAACAGAGAAGGGATGACAAAGAGTACTGGGACCACTGGTTAGCCATGTGGAAAAAAAAAAAATCCCTACCTCACACCATACAGAAAAATTAATTCAAAATAGATCACAGATTTAAACATAAAATCTAAAACTATAAAGCTGTTAGAAGAAAAAATATAAAAATATCTCTGTGGCTCAGGAAGTAGACAACAGTTTAAGACACAGAAAGCAATAACATAAAAGAAAAATCCAATAAATTCGATTTTATCAAAATTAAAATTTTCTGCTCATCAAAATGAATACACAAGCCCCAAAATATGAAGAAATCCTCCCTGTGTGTGTGTGTGTGTGTGTGTGTGAATAAGGAACTCTCCTACATCCTTGTGAGAGATGAACATGGTACAGCCTGGGAAAAGGTCTGGCAGTTTATTATAAATCCAAACACATACCTATTCTATGACCTAGCAATTACCCAAGAGAAACGAAAGCATATGTCCACAAAAGGCTTACTCAAGACTATTCATAGGAACTTTAGTCATAATAGCCAAAAGTTGTAAACAGCCCAGGCATCCATCAAAAGGAGAATGGATAAACACACTTCAGTGCATATTCATACAATGGAATACTACTCAGCAATAAAAAGGAAAGAATTATTGATACACACAATGATGTGGGTGAATCTCAAAAACATTCTGAATGAAAGAAACCTTACACAAAACAGTTCATATTGTATGATTCCATTTATGTGAAGTTTGATTAGAAGAATAACTAATGAATGGTGAAAAAATCAGAACAGTGTTGACCACCAGGGTGGAGATGGCAATTGACTGGGAAAGAATATGTAGAAGCTTTCTGGGGTAACACTTTATATCTAAATCTTGAAGGAATTTGGGTCATGCAAGTGTGTATGCATTTGTCAAAAACGTATCAAATGATAAACTTAAAATTTGACCATTTCATTGTATATAAATTTTTCTTAAAAAAAAGAACCATAAACCAATATACCCTAGTCAATGATATGCATGCACGCAAAACTGTTTAGAGGTGAAGTGTACTGATATCTGCAACTCACTTTAAATGCATGATAAGGCAAACATAGTAAAATGTTCACTGTAGAATCTAGGTGGCGGGTGTATGAGTGTTCGTTATACAATTCATTCAACTTTCCTATATGTTTTAAATTTTTCATTCAAAAAATGTTGAAGGGGAAGTGTCAGTAGTACTTTCTGGATGAAGAAAGTTGGAGCAGTAAGAGATGAGGGAGCTCAGCAGCAACATGAATGGCATAGTTTTGGGGTGGGTTGGAGTGGTAGGGGGTAGGGAGACGAGCTCAAGTCCCTTGTGAAAGTGCACATTTGGACGGAATTTTGAAACTGTGGGCAAGAATTTGAACATTCCATTTCAGGCCCCCATATCTCCCCTGTGTCTCCTTGACTTGCTCCACTGGACAATACATGGTACACTGCTTGGGACACAGGGTAATAACTTGTCATGTCTACTGAGAAAAGGAGAGAAACAAACATTTCTTCCAGTATCTACTATATCTTCACCTTTACTACCCTTTACTAAAAGACAGCAAGCAAGTCCTGCTTTCAAGATTCTAAAAGATACAAAGTAAAATCTCAAAGTAAGGAAAGAAATCACTACTTAATTAGTGCTGTTGGGTTTGTATTACATGTTCCAGCTTTATTAGAAAGAAGGGAGGGAAGAAAAATATGCATGCCTAGAAAGAACACTAGAAGATTTCCAGACTCTAAAATGGTTAACTGTGGACAGGCAACTTTGGGTGTTTTAACTTTCTTCTTTGTGTTTTAATGTATTTCCCAATTTTTCTACAATGTAATATTTTGGTAAAGATAAAAATACTCATTAAAATAATAATAATGCTTTTGATAAAACTGGATATCAACAGAGCAAAAAATTTTCATTTCATATCACAATAGGTATAATAAATTCCCCCAAAATAAAAGAGTACATTTAAAATAGTTTTTTTAACTAAAAGGCTTTAAAGTATTTAAATTTTAAATACTGCATAGAAGAAAAAAGAGATTAAAAAAGAGATTAAAAAGGAAGCAACAGAGCAGGGGAAAATTAACAATTAATGCTACAGGTTTTATCCCTAAAGTTTTATCCCTAAAGCTTTTAGGGGACTGATAAAAATCTATCAGGATAACACTCTGTCATCCATATCAAATAGCAGATAAGAGCAGTCACACAGGGGCTTCCCTGGTGGCGCAGTGGTTAAGAATCCACCTGCCAATGCAGGGGACACAGGTTTGAGCCCTGGTCCGGGAAGATCCCACATGCCATGGAGCAACTAAGCACATGCGCCACAACTAATGAGCCTGCGCTCTAGAGCCCGCAAGCCACAACTACTGAACCCTGCACAGCTAGAGCCTGTGCTCCGTCACAAGAGAAGCCACCGCAATGAGAAGCCCGGGCACCACAACGAAGAGCCGCAACTAGAGAAAGCACGCGAGCAGCAACAAAGACCCAACTCAGCCAAAAATAAATAAATAAATTTATTTAAAAAAAAAAAAAGAACAGTCACACAGAGTTCCCATGATAAACACTGGGGAAACATCCCAAAACAGTAATAGTTTACAAACATGCACATTAAGACAATTAATATAAAGTATCACCTCACATCTATTAAGTGGAAGAACCACATACTAGCTTTGGTTTGATAAAAGGATTTGGTTTTGTTTATATATTGCTAGTAACACTCTGGTATAGCCTTTCGGAAAGGCATTCTGTCAAGAAAAGAAGTTAAATGATAGCTTCTGACTCAGCATTCCCAACACTATATCACAAAGAAATAATTCAAAAGAAAAATATTTTTTTACAAAGATATTTATAGTTGCAGCTGTATATTAGAGCTAAAATCTAGAAATAGCCCAAATACCTGTCTGTGGGGGAAAACGGTATACTAACACAATGGAACATATTGCTATTAGAAACGACAAATGTGAGCACTGCAAAACATTTTGGAAATTACTGTAACAAGTAGTGGTAATTTTAAAACAAAGTCAAATTTATAAAGGTAAAGGTGAGGCGATACTACGTAAAATTATGTCTCCATAAATAGCTCAGAAGAGGTAAACAGATGGAGTTTAGGAAGTATTTTTTTAAATATGTATCACATAATTGCTGATACTTTGGTCTTTTCATTCACCTTTAACCTTTTAATTTACTTTCATTTAAATAACATTAAATGAAGTTGTGAGAAAAGCACAGAATGCAGACATAGGAAACTGGGATCTGGGCCCCAGTTCCGCCTCTTACTAATGATATAACCCTGGTTACCTAGCTTCTCTAATTGTCCATATCCGCACCTATGAGGTAAGGATAGTATTTCACACAATTATGGTGTTTTAAAATGACAACTAAAACAAAATACAGGATAACTTATAAATCACTTGAAAAAGGTTAATTATTTTTACATAAATATAAATATAGTAGTAGTTTATATCGATCAATAGTGACATCACTAAAGCTAATCTAATAATCATTTCTTTTTCTTCTAATTTAATTATAACTCTTGGAAATTATTCTTCTAATGTCAAATATTAGCCCTCTTTCAGGCTGAGTGATTAGGATTTGGGTACACACATGTTAAAGCTAAAATATATTACTGAATTATTCCACTGGGTGAATGTGGTCCCCAGTTTCACATTTCTAGAGAGTGACCTACACTAACTACTAGATGGTTAGAAAACCTCGGATCATAAAAGGCAGTCAACAGGATGGACCAAAAGAATTGAACTCTTAGTGAAAAAGATTAGACCCACTATCAAATCCTACCTACAAGTCCCTCCCAGATATAAAAGAGGAGATTGTTCATAGTTAACCTCTCCTCTTGAGTTAGGTCTAAGTTAGTAGGTGGAGGTGAAACCAAAAATTGAATATTCTGGATCATAGCAGGAAGGAAACAAGGGAGAAAGAATCAATATATTTCCTGAATTGGGATAAGGACAATACTTCTCTCATCTCCCTGGTCACTTAACTGCCATTTGGTGACACTTTACTATGGGTCAAAGCACTGCCCTGAGGGCCTGATCACAGAAGCAAGAAACTTTCAAAGTTGAACTTTAGATGCTGCTACCAAGCAGCAGGTGCAGGCATCCTCTCCCACAACCAACACCATAATCAAAATACTTGGCTCTGGTCTTTCAAATCAAATTTCAACTTTTTAAAAACATTCCATTTGGCTTTCACTTGAGAAACAGTTACACTTTGTTAAAAGCAGCTTAACAACTCAGCTTTTTTTTTTTTTTTATCCCTTTTGTTTGTTCAGTTCTTTCTGATGGTTAGTTTCCCTAGCTGGTGGCCAAATCATATCTATATTCTTATTGGCTTCAACACTTGAAAAATCACAAGGAATAAAAAAACTCCTCTCTCTGAAGACAGGTATCCCTCCCTCCCTGTAGGGATCTATCACAACCTAGTCAAAGGGAGTCGGCAGAACAAGTCCAAAGTGCCTGAGAAGACAGGAGCAGGTGCCCCTGGGAATTCAATAAGGACTCTTGCTCCCATCCTTGAAATGCTCTCAGCTTGGCTGTTTCTTCAACAGTTACTGGTATAAAGTGGGGGTGCTCCCCCCCAAAATGATTAGTGCCCTGTAAATAAACCTCTGGCACAGCTATTAATGCATGGAGGAATCTCTAACCTGGCCTGTGGGCCTGGTGGAACTTCCATTTTCCCAGCCCTCTTTCTCTTGCCTCAGGCTCATTTTTCCACTTGGCCCCCCTCCCTCTCAGCTTTCCGGCACTTAGTCACCATTATA